AAATAGGTTCCCAGAATACAAAACTACATTTTACTTACTTTGAAACATTCAGCATCTATCGAACTGCCTGAATTATAGTAGGTGTAATAAAATATGTGATGAATGAATGAATAAAATGTTATTATCATGATAAAGGGTGACTAAAAGCATTGAGAGGTAGATGTTGGCAATTTCTCTGAGGACAGAGGAGCAGAGTATATTTTTGGAGATGGAGGTCTGAATTCACTTCTGAGGCTAGATAGTCCTTTTATTTTGGAAAGAAAATACTTTTGGGGAAAAAAGTTATTGAACTACACAAAGGTGAAACAAAGGTCTCTTTTCAAAATGGTAGTTTGAAGGCAAGGAAATGCTAAAATGCTCTGCATAATTATATAAAAATGATTTTCCTTGTGAGTGGAAATTATCACTCTATGCAGTATTTCTTTTTAGGAAAAAAAAAACATTTTTCTTCTCCGTGGGTACCTGTGGAAATAAGCTAAATTCTAAGGAGAGAGACATACATATGGCTAGTGCATCATAGCACAGAACCAAGTTCTAAGGAGAGAAGTGGCTTGTCTCATGTAATACAGATAATACTCAGCTTTGACTTTTTATTTTTGATTTTGCCACTGTCTTGTTATCACAAATCTTTAATGAATTTTTACTCAATGTTATAATCTTGTGTGAGTTGTACTTTTGGAAACAAAGGGTTTGAATTTACACTGGGACAAGGGAAAGGGGTAGTTTAGGAGGAGCAGGCTTCAAACTGTAAGAGAAATTGTATGGAGCCAGAGCATTAGTAAGGAGATATGTGGCCACTGGGCTGATTTCTGAAACATATGACCCTTAATTCTTGGGCATTCTGAAAAATGCTTGGGAATGGGTACCTGACAAAACATGGGCTTTCTATGATCAAGAGGGGCATCAAGGCAATTGACAATAAATATATAAAGAAAAGGTAAAAGTAAAAATCTTCCATATTGGGAAGAAAAAACTAAGACTGTCTTTATTCACACATTATATGCTCTTATATAAAGAAAATCTACCAAAAAATCCCTACTAGAATGAATAAATGAGTTCAGCAATGTTGCAGAATATAAGATCAATATATAAAACAAATTTTATTTCTATATGCTAACAATGTGGAATCCAAAAATGAAATTAAGAAAGGAATTCCACCTCCAATAGCAATGAAAAGAATAAAATACTTAAAATATATTTAACAAAAGGAGTGCACTTGTACACTGAGAACTATAAAATAGAATCATTATTGAAGTAAATTTCAAAAGACTGAAGTAAATGGAAAGACAGCTCATGTTTATGCATTGAAAGATTTACTCTTGTTAAGATGGCAATGCTACCTGAATCAATCTACAAGTTCAATGCAAACTCTTTAAAAAATCCCAGCTTTTTTTTCCCCTTCTGGACTTGGTAAGCTAACTCTACAATTCATATGGAAACACAATGGACTCAGAATAGACAAAATTAGCTTGCAAAAGAAGAAAACTGTTGGGTAATATGGTATCTCTGTGTTTAATCTTTTTTAAAAAATATTTTTAAATTGTAGATGGACACAATACCTTTATTTAATTTATTTATTTTTATGTGGTGCTGAGGATGGAACCCAGGGCTTCACACATGCAAGGAGAGAGCTTTACCACTGAGCCACAACCCCAGCCCTCTGTGTTTAATCTTTTTAGGAACTGCTGAACTCTTCCAACTTTGGAAAGTACCATTGTACTTTCCAACCAGTAGTGTATGAGGGGTGCTTATTTCTCCACAAAAAATTTGTCTTGTTGGTCTTTTTCATTATAGTCACTGAGCCACATACTGGGGATACATCTATGAAATGATATATAGGTACCACAAAATAGTGGTTAAGATATTTAAGTCATATTATTATTTAGCTACAAATGCAGTTAAGAAGACCAGAACACATGAAAATAACTTATCTAGTTGTAGAATTGTTGGACAACATACCTTTAGTGAGAGCAATCTTTCCAGAAATTATCTGTAATATTATACAAATATAGACTATAAAAATGACAAATATCTTCATGTTGTTGGATTTTTATTTGTTATGATCCATAATACCAAATGTATATCTTGCTGAATGCAAAGAAACTGTGGAAGTTAATAATTGATTAACGGGCTGGGGATGTGGCTCAAGCGGTATCGCGCTCACTTGGCATGTGTGTGACTCGGGTTCGATCCTCAGCACCACATACAAAGATGTTGTGTCCGCCGAAAACTAAAAAATAAATATTAAAAAATTCTCTCTCTCTCTCCCTCTCTCTCTCATTCTGTCTTTAAAAAAATAATTGATTAACTATAAGGTGATAATAATATTGCATTACTCTTTGCAGAGAGAAATGGGGTTATAGACATGGGAGAGGGTAAAACAGGAAGCAACAACAATATTGATAAAAATAAAGATCCAAAATTATTCCTGGTCCCTATCATTCATCTGACCACAAATATCCATATTTATCCTGTTAGTAAATTTAATGAAATCAGTATTCTAACCTTCTTGTCATTAAAGGCCACTGGCCCTGGGTAGATGGGTAGTGCCATTACCAGATGAACATACAGAGAACTACAACCAATTACTCAATCAGAATAGTCTATCCCATTAGTCAGATTGCATCAATATTGCAATACATTATATTTATTGTTAAAAACTGATTATACTTTCTAAGATAAAATGACCTATAATTTATAAAATTTTGGTACAACTGTGATAGATGTTATGGAAATTAAAAAAAAATATGGTTGTAGATGGACAGCATGCCTTTATTTGTTTTAGTTTTTTATGCAGTGCTAAGGATTGAACCCAGTGCCTCACACATGCTAGGCAAGTGCTCTGCCACTGAGCTACAGCTGCATCCCTTATGGAAATTTTTGAATTATTTTCTGCCCAAACTGGTGGGGACAAGTATCAAGTGGGCAGAGTGGGCTACATTTGCACAACTAGTCTTTTTTGGGGGGTAGGGCAGTGTTGGGGATAGAACCCGGGGTTTTCTGCATGCTAGGCAGACCCTCTATCACTGAGCTACACCTCTAGCCCTCACACCAGTCTTTTTAAAGGTGTCAGCATCAGCCAGGGAATGAAACTTGAAACTTTTCTGGATTACAAATGAGCATTGATTTGATCATAGTTGCAGTGTCAAAATTCCAATTTAACATAGAAGTAGATATTATGGAAAAATAAAGTGTTTTCATAGATCATAGCTAGGTTCTTTTTCATAGTCCCGTCTCCAAGCTGATTATTCTTTATTATTTTTTTCTTTTGTCTACCAAGTGGTCACTGAGGTAGGACTGTGGCAAAATGTGTAGGCTGACTGCAGGGCAGGGTGTCCAAATGGCTCATTGTTGTTGGTCCATGGAGTGACAACATCTTTGGTGCAGTAAAGAGCTCTGAACACACAGGTGTAGCCAAACATCTGGACAAATATTCAAGTGCTCCTTATATTTTCTTCTCCAGTATATAAATGACTCACTTTTGGCACTATATAATCTTAAAGCATGATGTCTAAATTGAAATTTAAAGACACAATTTTTTGAAATAGTATATGAATAATAGAAGTCAATGGTGAACCCCAAACTAAAATAAATCCCAATAATCTGATGACCCCCTAAACTCCCAGAAAATTGTTTTTCTCTTTGCAGGTCTGAAAACAAAGCCAACTGCTTCTATTTGGAATGCACTCAGCTACAGGGAACAGAAACTTGATTTAAGGGGCTCACAGAAACTGAAGTTTCTTTCCTTCACCTAACAAGAAAATTAGTGGGTGATGGTTGCTGGTAAGAGTTCTGTGGCTCAATCATGCCATCAAGGACTCAGACATAGGGTTCATTTTAATTTAGTGGGTAGATTTTAAGTCTGTATACTCTGTCAATTATTTCTACTGAAGGACAGTTTTTTATTTAAAAATTTTTTAATTAAAGCATTATAGTTATACATAGTAGTTAGGTTCATCTCAACAAATTAATACATTCATAGAATTCTATTTCAGTTAATGTCCTCCCCTTTTCTTTCCCTCTTTCCTCCCCTCATTCTCCTTTCTCTACTGATCTTCCTTTTGCTGGTCTATTTATTTATATTTTGATTGGTTCTTTCTACCTATACATAAAGGTGAAATTCCCTGTGGCATATTTATATATGCACATAGCATGATTTTTAAGAATTTATTCCATATTTCCTACCCTTTCCAATCCCTTTTCCCTCTTAATCTCCTTCTTCTGCTCTACTGATCTTCCCTGTATCTTTATGATATCCCATCTTCCCTTCCTTCTTTTGAAGGTAAGTTTTATATAAAGCTAATTTCAAAGACTGGAGAAGTTAAAAAAATGAAAAGTCGTGTGCCTTAGGGTTTGGTGTGGTCTGTTTAAAAATGTTTTCCTTGGTACCTGGTCCTGGGTCTTGTCATACTGAGACACTTCATCTTTGTTTTCTTTGTTCTATTCTGTTGTCTCCTTTGCTTTGGGGGTCAAAGTTAATGCCCCCAGTAGAGGCAGTGAAGCAGAGGAACAAGGACTATGGCCCAACAGCCTGTTCCTCTTTAACCATTTTTGTCCTACAAAAAGACAATGTCATACAGTTCAATGCAATAGTTTAAATATCATTTGGTGACTATTGAATGCTGATTATTTTTTAAAAAATCAAAACTTTAATAATTCCCAAGTGGCCAAGCCAGAATAAAAACACAGTACCCTAGCTGCTTCCCCCAAATTTTATTAAATGCTCCTCATCTTCTGGCCTCCAGGTAATAAAGCTAAAGATAGCCTTTTCCTACTTTTTGAAGTTTTCTATACCTCCTTAGAATTTGTGAGAAAATATAATCAGCCTCTCTGGAAGATTAGGAGGGCAGTAAGATACCATAGCCACCTCCCGGCTGACATTTGAGCCCTGCTTCCCGCCTGGTCAATCCTTTTGGAGGCAGCCAGAGTATGGCTTGTATCAAACTCTATATTTAGGAAGAACAACTGTGAGCTATGACAGGAATTCTCTTTAACACTTAGCCTTAAACTGAGTTCCCCTCCAGCCCCGAGCCAGGAGCAGCTCTCTGTACCGGGAGAGGCACAGAGCACTCGAGCTATTTCAGCCACATGAAAAGCATCAGAATTGAGATCGCAGCTCAGAGGACACCGGGCGTCCCTTCCACCCTCCAAGGAGCTTTGTATTCTTGCACCTGGCTGCCTGGGACTTTCCTCTGGCAGTAAACAAATACAGAAAGCAGGTAAGCAGAAGGACCAGCTCTGCTGGCAACTGGGCTTTCTGAAGGAAATGTCCTTGATACCTAACTTGATGTAACTACTTATAACTTTGTAGGCTTGTAACCAGTGGGGGTAGTTTCTTTGTCAACTCCCTGTTCACTGATGGTGTTGCTGCTTATTTTATACATTGTTTATGCATATGTGTGTGAGGGGTGTGCTGAAAGAATATTGAACTAGAGGTATTTTTTCATTGATAGGGATGTTAGTAAAATGTTCACAATCCAGATATGATAACTGTGACCTTGAAGCTGGATGGTCAGCATTACAGTCAGCCAGCTGTAGACTGATTTGGACTCAAAGCTGAGAATTAATCAGGAGAACTGGGAGCAAAGAAAAGCTATAATGCTAGTTTTCTGATTTACCTAAATCCGCATTATTGACCGAGTTGTTACACAGTACAAGTTTGAATGCTTTTCTCATTTCCCTAAGTGCCAAGCTTACTCTTAATGATAAAGTTCTATTAATATCTGTGTGTAGATAGAAACTTCTTTTCAAGAGCTTCACTGTGATCAGTTTTCCTGTAACTTCTATCAGTGAAGAGGGCAGTTCTCACTGTCCCCATCTATGCGGGTACCAGATTTCAAGGCATGGGACTATAGAGTCTCTTCCCTCCCATTGTATTTAAAACAGAGTGAATAAGGAGTCAGTTCAGACAGCTGAACATCTTTCTACACCCTTCTCAGGAATTATTTTTAGCTGTAGGACAGAAGATAATTCCCTTTGAGACGGAGCTTTATCCATTTACTTGACCTTTCGAAAGAACAAACAAAGCTCTTCTTTCCAAATATTGATTTTCCTCTGAATCCTTTCTTATTAAATTAGTGATATTAATGTTGACCAATTTTTAGTAATTCAAGGAGTTTTATTTAGAAGTTAGATATTAGGTGCTGTCCAATCAAAACCAACCAGGGGTATATATTGTACATGACTCAGCATACAGACCATTAAAAGTCCCTACTGACTTGCAGAACTGCCAGGAAAACTCAACTGCACTCAGTTGGCAAGCATTTCCATTATACTATAGGCTTTGTAAAAGTCAATATATGCCTGTCAAACTTTCAATGTTTTCAAATTTTAGCCAGAGCCAGGAGACAGACACAGTAATTGAGTATTGTAAAGAGTACCTCTCTGGATGAAAAGCTCTGGCCCCAGTGGGAGTAGAAAGTGTACCTAAGGCATAGCTTTCTTTTTTGGTCCCGGGAGGAAGCATGCAGATGAAGAGGGAAGGTGCATCCTATACTCTACATCCCTGATGGAGGTGAATACAGGGCCAGGGAAACAGCTAGGGAACACGGTCTATTTTTATTCATTAGTGTGCTTTGCCCTGATTTCTCTGCAAATAATGAGGACAGCAGGAACTGCTGCTGAACTGATTTACACAAATGTTCTCTAGCCTGTTTGTGAGGAACAAGAGCTGGGAGCTAACCAACTTTTTCTATAGGTGTCTCTATTCAATATTGACATGGATGTTTAGAAGAGATTTGTATATAAATCAGAATATACCAAAACTCTAAGGAAGATAAGGCCCACCCATTTGTTAGGCTAAGTTTCTCCCCCCAAGAAACACAGCAGGCCAGTAGTTGTTGTTATCGCCAGTGAAAAAAAACCAATCAGCTTATCAAAGAAAAAAAAATCAATGCAGTATAAATGACACAACTATCCATTGCTTGGTTTTTGTTTCATTTTACATTCCAACATGCTATTGTAATAATAAAGAAATTTCCTAATTCCCATGTTTTAAATTGATGTAAAATAACTTTTCAAAAGTTCCCAAATGATAGTAGTTAAACTTTAGTTGTACACACTCAGAGAAAACTATGCTGAGATATTTAAAATCCTCTGAGAATTCTTTGCATGACTTCTACTAGCTTTTGAGGAATGGAAACGTTTAAAATTAAGTCACTACACTTTTCACTTTGGCATTGAGCTGTGTGCCCTAGATCCAAAAATTAAAAATGATTCATTTTCCTTTGACACTGAAGGAAAGACAGTAATCTTTTTGAAACAAATCATAGGGCAAAATGTATCCCTATTGTTCATTTTGGTTTTGCTATTTAATTTTTTAACCATATTAAAAATAACTGTACCTACACCTTTATGCACGGAGGCTATATCCATGTAATTCTAAAGCATTTGGGTAAAACTTTTATAAAAAGTCTCATCATTTTCATGTATATAGCTACAAAAACTCTACTTGGATATACTAATTTTAAAAATATGTAATTGTTTAACTTCACATAATAGAGCCTAAGACTTTGAAGATCTGAAAAAATCAACAACCTAAGTTATTCACAGAGTTCTCAGATCTTTTATCTCTACAGGTGTTGAGGAACATCTGTCCATCAATTCTTTGTACTTAAGGCTGCATATCAGTAATAACAATCACAAATCATTAGCTGTGGACAGTGCCAGTAAAACAATAAATACTTGCATCATGCTTTAACATTTGCAGGGCCTTCCCAGCAGCATTATGTGTTTTGAATGTTACTACAACCTGTGAGGCAGGTAAATTTTAAGGAAGGGGAAATGAGCCTAGAAATGTTGAGCAACATTGCCCAGGTCACATAGGACTTGTGGCAAATGCCAATACTGCTTCCTGTGTCACTTATTTACATGTTAACATGTATGTTTAAACCAGTCAATAGATAGAATGCAGTCAACCTGTTTTATAGTTTAGGTTTAGAACACAGAGTGCTTTTCATTCAATGAATTTTTAAACTTTTCACTTGGTCCTGTTCTTGTTTAATAAATGAAGCTATAAAAATAAGCCAGAGCTGGGTTATTATTTCCTGTTCCTTCAGCCCCAGTAAACAGCCTAGTCCCCAAATATGCTCCAGTTACACTGCCCTAAGGAAGGTCTCTAAAGTCAGTGTTGAAAGAATGAAATAGTCATCTGGGAATGAAGCAGTTCTACATCTTGGGTATCTGATCTGACATGGTCACTGAAGTCTTACTTGCCTTCTGAGATCGTTGAAAGCAAAGAAGATGAGCAAGGCCTAATTAGCTGCCCGTGTTCACAGAGCCTGAGCTCTATATGAGCACCCTGCAGAGGGCCTGAGGAACATAAGGCAGTGCTGGGGTGTGGGGTGATGAAGCTGTAGCCCAGGTTCTCCGAGTACCTCCCAAGAGCTGGGAGAAGAGACATGTGCACAGTGGGGATGTAGCACAGGCCATTTGTCTTTGGGTGTTCAACAAAGAGCAGGTGCTCTCAATGGACTGACTAGCCGCCCTGGCAACAATGAATTCAGATCAAAAGTTCAGCTTCAAGTGGAGAGCCGCTGAAGCCTGAACAAAGGTGTTTTATTCCCACCACCTCTGTGCTTTGCTGCTCTTGGCAGAGGGTCAGGAGGGCAGGGAAGGAGATGATAGGGCCTTTCAAGTTTCTGATCCCCTATCATTAGCATCAGGGGCGAGGCATCTCAGCATTTCTCCTCCTGAATGATTTATTGGGGCGCTCTAGTGTTCCCTCTCCCCAAGGCTTTCAGAAGGAGGGTCTCTAAGTAACTTTGGAAATTGAGACTGAAAGAATATATGGCCTGTGAAAGAGGTGGCTGCCCAGTTGAATCATGAGTTAAATTTGAATTTATCAAGACTAAGAATCTGAATGCCGCCACATCTAACAGTTTCTTACTTATTTTTTAGGACTAAGACTGCCTGAATATGTCGAAACAGCCAGTTTCCAATGTCAGAGCCATCCAGGTAAGTAGGTGTGTTTGTGTTTTAACATCAGCTCTGTGATTTCTAGTGTGATCGTTTAAGTCATACTGCGATTGTTCACCTCTAACTGATTGTTCACCTCTAACTGACGTGAAGAAAAGGAAAGTTCCTCTTGGTAAGGCTCCTGAAGGACAATTGAGAAACGAAGTAAGACCGGTAAGCACAAAAGATGAAATAAAAGCTATTTTTGTTTAATTGTTCTGGATTATAAAGATAATCAAATTTTATAAATGAGAATTAAATTATCTTCTACAAAAATATAATGTGTTCACAATAGCCTATTATATGCTTTCTGAAGAACTAGAAGAGATTTGCTCAAAGGCTCCATAAAGAAAGCAATGATAAGGAGAGGAAAATGCTAATTGCTCTGATTTGATCAGTGCACATTGCATACATGTATTGTTATAAAATAGCATATTGTTGAAATATCATACTGTACTCTATAAATCTTTATAACTATTAAATGTTAATTTAAAAATGTAGCATGCTTTTTGATATGCATGTTTTATATGCTCAACAATAGAGATAGAATGTTCAGTTTCCATTTTCATATCCAATTGCTATATGGATATATCAGTGGATCAAAGTTTGTTGATGCCTCTGTTTCAAATACATCTTTTAAAGCTGGGGGTGTAGTTCAGTGGTAGAGCACAAGCTTTGTATGTGGGAGGCCCTGGGTTCAATCCTCAGCATAAAATCAAATAAAATATATCTTTCTTTAAAAAAATAACCTTTTATAATCAAGTGTTCTTCCCATGGCTTTTTATTTATTTATTTATTTTTATTTTTGGTTATTTATTTTTTAAAATTCATATGTTATTAGCTTTCCTCATGCCATCTCAGTAAACAAATTCTTTGGTTGTTTAAATTGACTTAGTATCACCCACAAAAATGGGAAAGAGAAGCAGGCATTTTGAAACAAAAACACAAGTATGAAAATAACTTTCAGTATTTGTTTTTATTCAACATTTAATTTGCTATTTCTCTTAAGTGTTCTGTGTTTGATTGTCAAATGGCTCCCACTCAGAGAATTGGGTACAATGATTTATTGTAAAATTCCTTCTTTTCATCAACGTGGAACCCATCTCTGCTTTCTCCAAATGAATATATTTTCTTTCTGGACTTTTTCTGAATGTGTGAGGGCATGTGGCAGTTGCAGAATGTGTTGGCTTTGATGTACCATCATGGCATAAACACAGTCACCAACAGTTGACTGTGTTTTGGAAGGGCATGCACGTGGCCAGGCTGTGACTACATCATTGAGGGTTTTAGAAATCCTGGCACACACTAGTGATGGACGTGGGTGGAGGGACAGATCTTTCTTTACTTGTCATGACTAATGCATACTCTTAAATTGGTGGGGTTCTTAAGTGGTAGGATATATGACAACCTCTGGAAACCTGTCACTTAGTAAGCCACCAAGGAGGGGCCTATGTATTTGGCAAGGATTCCATTCCAAATTGTGACATTCAGTCCTCTGGTGTCTACCTAGTGGGACCCTGACATCCTGACAGTAGCAGTGGAAATTACTTTGTCTCTCAGAACTTGGATATAATTGAGCTTTAGAATCTTCTCTTCCACATGTAAGCAGTTAGTAACATGTGCTCTGAAATCAGATTGCTGAGGTCCTTCATCTGTCTTGTGCTGGCATAGGATCATAGGAAAGTAACTGTACCCTGTTCTTTCTCTGTACCTCCACTCCCACATTTGTAAAATGGGGATGATAATAGTACTCACCATCTAGGGCTATATGTATAAGATGCTGAAAACAGCACAATATACACTAGCTGAAGATCAACCATTATTATAGTTATGATCTTTCAGGAGTGTTTTATGTAAGTTATGAGCAATAATACCATTGGATCACTTTGCTTAAAGCTTCAAAGTGCTAAACATAAAATTTCCTTTTTATTTTGTAGGACACAAAACCATAATCTTCTCTTGGGCTGCTTTTGCTTCTCTTTCATTTAAAGCTGAAAGCATGATTTGTCTTCTCTCAGTGCTCCCTGGTCTCACTCAACTCTACACTGAAAATTCACCAGTATTTCATTTACTAATTTTGACCTTGATATATTTTTAGACCTATCATATTTAAAAAGCTACTATCGACTATTCTCAGTAGCTGTTATTATGCTGCATTACAAAAAAATCCATCCACTTTACCAACAGGGGCAATACAGTCATTCCTTATGGTGTGGTGTTGCCTCTTTCAATATATTTTATGCCACACAAAAAGCCCAGTTTAACGTACCTTCATTTTCTTGTGGCTAAATTGGATCAGTACTACCTAATATTTTCTATCATTTTTGTATTAACCTTAAGTAGGATGCATTAAATAAAATATAAAAATGGTTACACTGTACAAAGTAGTTTATAGTAGGGATATTTTCTAGGTTACAGTCTTCTCTGGAACAAATAAAAACCCTGATTGATGAAGGAATACCCTCATTGTGTAAATGCCATTCAAAGGTCTTAAATGTTCTACTCAATACATTCTAGTCACTTTTTATTAGAACCTTATTTCCAATCCAGTTCACTGGTTGTTTCCTGGGTACATATTGTGGACCAGGTACTGTGCTAAGTGTAGGGTATACAAAGATGCATTGATATCTGATTCCTATATTTGAGAAACTCATAGACTCCTACGTAATAGCTACATGACTTTGGGCAAGTTTATTTTTTGTCCTCTTTGTGCCTCAGTTTCCTCATCTGTCAATAAGGGAATTAATAATAGTGTCTATCTCAAGGTTTCTGGGAGGGTAAATTGAATTAATCAAATTTAATACATGTAAATGCTTAGGCCATTGCCTGGGTCATTGTAATTGTTTAAGAAAGAGCTTTTATTATCAATGATAATCATCAATCATTATCATTATCTAGTTCATGACTACACTTTTTAAAAATTTTTTTTAGTTGTAGATGGGCACAATATCTTTTTTAAAATTCATTTTTTGGGCACAATATCTTTGTTTATTTTTATGTGATGCTGAGGATTGAACCCAGTGCCTCACGTGTGTGAGGCAAGCACTCTATCATTGAGCCACACCCCCAGCCCAAACAGTGGCAGATTTTTGTGTGTGTGTGTGTGTGGTGCTAGGGATTGAACCCAGGGCCTTGTGCTGCAGGCAGGCACTCTACCAACTGAGCTATATGCCCAGCCCTCATCATCTAGTTCAATAGTACCCAAAATGTGTCCTTTGGAAACCAGTTTTATGAGATATTGTTAATTAAATTAAAGGCTTCTATCATTAAATGTTTGGAAAAATTTATCAGAGTCATTAACTTGAAAATAGCATCATATTATTTCCAGGAAGGTGGTAACATATACAATGTTTTCTAAACATATTGGACCTCTTCAATGAGTATCTTGCTGTATAGTGTTTGGCAGAGCAAATGTCTAGAAACAATGATTGGGGTCTCTACTTTGTCTGGCTTGGTTAAACTTAAGCTACTTTCAGCCATGCTTGTAACAGGCAGGCAGATCAGGAACTGAGTTATTGCACCTATGTTAGAAAACATTGCATCAAACAGTTGCAAACCTCTTAGCTTACCTTTCTGTAAAATGGGGACAATATGTTACTTAACATGGTTGTTATAATGCAAAATGCAAAATCATGTATGGCAAGCACCTGGTTTATAGTACACACATTTCTTAAGAGATGGCTCTTTACATGAAGTAATGCATGGAATGGCTTTGCTTTCTCTTCAAGTGGCTCTATCTCCTCCATGTACTAGAATAAGAGGGAGACCAGAACTAGATTCACCCTTAGAAGAAATGGACAAATTGTCTTTCACATCCATACTGAAGAAGAGAAGGCCTTTGAATTTTGTGGAGATTTTAAGTATACCCTTCTTTCACATGGTTTTAACTAAGTCTCAGCAAGGGAGCATAAAAATAGCTTGAAGGAATCAGCTGATTCTTTCATAGCCTGGACAGGGCTTTTGTCTCTTAAACAGCTGATAAAGTTCTGTCTCAGAGGTTGGCAAACCTTTTCTGAAAAGGACCACATAGTAAATATTTTATGCTTTGGGGTTGTTTGGTCTGTTCCAATTACTCAACTCCATTGTTACACCACAAAGCAGCCATAGGCAATACAAACATAGGTGTGTTTCAGTGAAATTTTATTTGAAAATCAGGTGGTGGTCTGAATTTGGCCAGTGGATTGTAGTTTTCCAACCACAGTTTTAGACTCTCCAGGCTGTTTGTTATTCCCCATTGTTGATGGGGATGGAGCTGTGACCAAGGTAACATCAGCACATTTGGGACACTAAGTCCGCTCCCTTCCAACGAAAGAATTTGACATGACAGGTGGTGGGGAAAGCTAGAGTTGCTGGGAAATCTAATCCTATCAGTGATCTGCTTTGTGACTTTCTCTAATGAGACCAAATGATACCAGCTACTGGTAGCACCTGCTTGTCCTTCTTCTTCCTCCCAAACATACCCCCTTTTGGAAATATCACAGGCCTCCCAGGGTCTCATTCATACAGAGCCAATCTTCTCTGGGTTGTCACTGGTCATTTCTCTCTATTGTTTACCAAAGTAGCTATTATTTTTCCTCTCCCAGGCGATCTGAGAGCTCATGGCTGACTGGAAAAGAGTCCTGTGCCCTAGTCTTAGCTCTGCAGTGTGACTTCACCCCCCCCACCCTTGTGATCTGCAAAGGGAAGGTGTTGTGTTAAATGACCACTAAGCCTCTGACCAGCTTCTAATAGTCTGTGAATTTCTTGAGAATAACTTCCCAAGGTTTATTATTAGGATGACAGTAATAACTACAGTTATTCTGGGTTTCCTATGTTTTTGGCATAGTGCAACAGAATTTTTGTGGATCATAACATTAGGTTAGGAGATATGAAATAATGCACCCAGGATCACACAGCTTGTAAGTAGGAGAGTCAGACCTGAACTCATTGGTCCAGTGCAATCCCAAAGGCCATGTTTGGAACCACTGTGCCCATTCTTGTTAGTTATCATCCCCACCCTT